AGAGAAAAGAAATGTAGTTTTAAAAAATTATTTGTGTATAAATATCTGTGTGTAAATATTTATGTGTAAATATCTCTGCCTCTGCCTGCCTCAAATGCTGGGATTAAATACATGTGCACAAGTGTGTGCAGGCATGTGTGCATGGGTGTCAGATGGCACCAAGTGTCCCTATCTATCACTTTCTCCCTATGCCTTTGAAGAGTTTTTTCCAGGGACCTAGGGCTTGAGTTTCCTCAGCTAGACTCCAAGCCAGCAAGCCCCAGGGATCCCCTGTCTGTGCTCATCCACCTTGGAGCTGGAATGTCAGATTCATTACATGGGTGCTGGAATCCGAATTCTGGTCTCATGATTTTTCAGTAAGCATTTTTAAAAATAATTTATTCATTTTTATGTCCTGCCTGTCTGTCTGTGTGAGGGTGTCAGATCTTGGAGTTACAGACAGTTGTGAGCTGCCATGTGGGTGCTGGGAATCGAACCTGTCCTTTGAAAAAGCATCCAGTGCGCTTACCTGTGGAGCCATCTCCTCAGCCCCCTTAGTAAGTGTTTGTAACTGCTGAGCCATCTTTCCAATTTTCTAGCCCTTTTTCCTTTTCTTAAGGAAATTTGTGTGTTGCTGTGTGCCATAACCTTTGTTTTTACTGCCTCCCAGCATGTGCAGCGAGTGGATTTGAAATGTGTAAATCGGTGACTCTCATTCCAGCATCAACTTTTTAAAACTTTCTAAAGGGACTCAGGATGCCTCCTGGCATGTCATGTTGGTGCCCAGCATTGAAAATACTGGTGCGAGTTGTGCATGTGATCCCAACAGTAAAAAGCCCACATCAAATAAAGAAGAGAGGATGCCTTTGGGCACTTGGGAGACCTGGACTCCAGAGCCCAAGCCCTGTTGTGAAATCTGACTTCACAGGGTCAGATGACATAGGCAGACCTCTGTTCCTGCTTCTGTGACTCAGAGGCAACAACTTGCATGTCAGTGACCCCTGGGGTCACACACACACACACACACACACACATACACACACACACACACACACACACACACACACACACACAGAGGCATTAGGAAACACTAGTACAGCAGGATGCAGGAAGTACACTGACTCCATAGGAAACCATGCAGACCCAGGATCAGTGGGTTCATTCTTCACTGAGAACCTTTGTGAAAGCTGATTCTCTATAATCTTCGGTGGTTAAGGCGGGATTCAGCTATCCATAAACATACAGGATCTCGGTCGGGCGGCTTCACAGGTATTCCAGCTCACTGGGAGTCACACCACGGCTCTCTGACATATGTACTCTGAATCTCCGTGTTCACCCCTTATGCCTTCCACAATGTAGGTCTTTGAGATCAAACTCAGATTGTTAGGTTTGGCTTTTTTACCCATTTCCCTAACTCACAGACCAAGACTGAGTATTACTGTTGTGCAGACCAGCTGGCCTTGAACTGGAGACTGGCTTCCTGCTTCTGTCTCCCACATATAAGCATTGCAGTCCTGTGCTATTGTAGTTTATGTACTTTATTTAGAGACAGGATCTCACTTTATTGCCAAGGGTGGCCCAAAACTCACCTTGTAGACCAGGCTGGCCTCTTCGTGCCTCAGCCTTCCACGTAAAACTTTACAGGAACAAGTGCCCAGACTTGGTGTTGGAACCTTGCTATTTCGGTGGGGGCTTTACCTGTTTGAGCATCTCCCATTAGTTGGCTCTCTAAAAGTCTAGTCCTGGACCTTTTCTTCAGAGTCGTGCTTGTACCGAGTGTGTCACGGAAGTTCCTATGATTGTCCTCTTTCTCCAGCTCCCTACTATGCTGAGCTCTGTTCCTAGATGCTTTGGCTTTCTAGGCACACTAACAAGTACATAGGTCTACAAGAAACACGTCAGCACATTTTCTCTTGGTCCCTCTTTTCCTTGTGGGTCTTGGTCTTTTATGTTTTTCAGGGTTGAGCACCTTCCTGTAGTCAAACAGAAAGGCTTTACTGGTGTGTGTCTGTGAATTTCTTCCCTCCCTCCCTCCCTCCCTCCCTCCCTCCCTCCCTCCCTCCCTCCCTCCCTCCCTCTCTGTCTCTCCTTCCCTTCCTTCCAAGATTTTTAAAATTTGTTTAATGTCTGAGTGCTCTATCTGCATGTACAACTTTATGCCTTTAATCCCAGGGGAGGCAGAGGCAGGTGGATCTATGAGTTCAAGGACAACCAGTGCTACACAGAGAAACAATGTCATGAAAAAACAAAACAAAAGGCTGGGTATGGTTGGCCTGTACCTGCAGTTCAGCCCTAAGCAGGCAGAGACAGGGATCGATTCCCCAGAGCTTACTGCCAGCCAGCCTTTGAAGTTGATGAGCACCAGGTTCAGCAAGAGACCTTGTCTTTAAAAACAAGGTAGAGAGAGTTGGTAGATGAACACATGATGCTGACCTCTGGCCTCCACATTGCTTTACATCCCCTACAAATCCAAACCAAAGGAAACCAAAAGCCCTTAGTGGTGGAGCCCAGGTACGGTGACTTATCCTGTTTCACCGGTGACTGCTGAAGGTGCTGTAGAGGGCACTGCAGCATGGATGGACTTCTCTCTCTCCTCTTTGTTCCCTTAGAGAGAGAGAAAGAATTAACGCACATCAGCTCACGTTCCTTGTAGGAGTGTGTCTCCAGGTGTACCCTTGGGCTAGCAGTATTGGTATCACCTGTGAGCTTGCCACAACTTAGTGGTTCAACCCTGACTGCCCTAGTTCAAGTGCCGGAGGGCAGACGCAGGAAAGTGGCTTTCTGAACTCACTTTGGGGAGAGACTTTGAGCTGTGCCAGTGCAGCCTCTCTGTAGCATTGCCTTTTCAGCACATGGGGTGGTAGGGGTGTTTGTCTGGGGACAGAGATGCTTCAGTTGGTAAAGTGCTTCCAATGGACCTGAGTTCCATCCATAGCACCTGCATGAAAATGCCAGGTATGGTGCCTTGTGCCTGTGATCCCAGCACTGGGGCAATGGAGACTTGATAGTCCCTGGTACTCTCTGGCCAGCCAGTCTTGCTTGGTTTGTCAGCTTCAGGCCAAAAAGAATTCCTGTTTCAAAGGAGGCATTTGACATTCCTGAAGCTAACATCCAAGGCTGCCCTCTAGCCTTCACACACGTGCACCATACATGTACACCCACCAGCACCCATTGAATGAAGAGCAGCTTGTTTTAAGGTGACTTCCGACAGCTGGTGTGGAAATGAAGGAAGACCAGGGTATGGGAGCACAGAACAGTACCACAGAAGCAAGCAAGTAATCTGATAGGAAATTTAAACTCTTGTTTTTTTAATGAATAAACTGTGAACTGCCCTCCTGCTGTGACCCTACACTGCACTGCAAGTTGGAAATAGATAATAATGTTTTGTGTATAAGCTTTTCAGAGCTACATCTTAAAGGTTTAGAAGTTCGTTGGTGATGGTGCACACCTTTAGTCCCAGCACTTGGGAGGCAGAGGCAGATGAGTCTCTGTGAGTTCAAGGCCAGCCCAGGAGGCCAGTCTATAGAGCAAGTCCAGGACAGCTAGGGTACACAGAGTCCCAGTCCCCATAAACTAAAACTAAAAGGAAAATAAAATTCTGAAGTTTTCCAGCCCCCCTGGACAATGAGCCATGTGTCTGTTCTGATCTTAAAAGGTGGGGCAGGTTTGCATGTGCCTTCTAACACAGAGCTCTATTGGATAATGTGGACTCTGTTCTGAAGGTGTCTTCAATATGAATCTATCCTATACCGGATGCCTGGAGTCTCCACACTCTCCAGCCGCTTTGTCTCCACTCCCAGTGTAACACCAGACTCCATGGCTGGAATGGAGTAAATTGGCATTATCCTTCAGTTGTTACTATCGCCCATTATGTATGGGATACAGTGACAAGAAAGCATGTCACCAAGACACAGCTTGTTGAGCCAGAGTTAACAGCCCAAGGCCATGCGTACTGAGCACAGAGAAGTGCCAAAACAGTAAGCCTTGTACTACAGCCTGAGGCCATGTTGGAGGCCAGCCACACATTAAAGATTCCACTTCAGATCCTAGCACGGGCGGCTTGGAAATGGGCCACCCTTGTAAGGCAGTCTTTTCCCTGTGAGGGAGTGAGTTATGGAGGAGCTGGCCAGGAAAAGTGGATCTTACTGTAGCTCCCTCCTGGAGAGACTGAAGACAAAACCATCAACTGCTCCTTTGCTCAAATTACCTGAAGAGCACTCAGCTGTGCTTGCCTTACTGCTTTGGGCGTTGGCAGGCTGGGTGGGGCATCTTAGTCCACCGTTCTGCAAAGGTGTTGGGACACAGCTTTCAGCGCCTGGGGGAGCAGAGTGGCCTGTAGCTGTAAAGTGATATGCAAGTGTTTCCATTGGTCTGTGAAGGTCCTTCTAATTGTCATTGTGCTAGAGCACACTGTGAAGGCTTGCATACTAGGTGGGACGAAGCTGCACTTATGCTTTCCTACAACTACTTGCTATAAGGATTCAGGCACTATGCTGGCCTGCCCCTGTCACCTGGCAAAATGCACTCAGGCAGTGCCCTGGTCAGCCCGGGTGCGAAGGACCCCCTTTAAAAGAAAGACCTCCACCCACTTACGCCTTCTTTCTGATCTCTTTCCCGCTGTTTCCCTGGGGTCCCTCTTTTCTTCTGTCTTCTCTCTGTCTTTCTGTCTCTGTGTCTCTTTACCTCTTTTCTCTTTCCTTCTCCCTTCTAATAAAACTTCTCACTTAAGCCCTGTCTGCCTGGCATGGTTGTCCCTCCGCCTCGGTCAACCTTGCCCAACATGGAATCCGACATGGTCCCCTCCTGCGCTTTATCATAACACTTGGGATTGGCCGAAATTCCCCTGAGTTCTACTGGCCACCCAAGAGTATCTGAATCCAGAGTGGAAAACAGACATGAGACTGGAAGGCCTTAGAACTGAAGGTCTAAAAAGAGTAAAAGCCCGCAGTTGTGTGTCGTGTGATAGGTGCGCGTGCGTGCGCGCGCTCTTCTTACTCAACTCTCCTCTGTCTTTTCCACAGTGAATACCTACCTCTTCATGGTGCAGGCTCAAAGCATCTTGCTTCGGGACAATGTGAGGACCATTGGTGCCCAGGTGTATGAGCAGGTGGTCCGCAGCGCCTATGCCAAGAGGAACAGTAGCCTGAACGACTCTGGTAAGTACTAGTGAAGAGGGACCTATGGGATGTCTTCTCTCCCAAGGGCTGGGGGTGGGGGGTGGGGTGGGAGGAAGTTGGCCGGGGAGGCTAAGTAATTACCTCCTAAAGAGAGTGTGTTGAGAGAAGGGCTGGAAGGGAGTCTTCACTCCTGCTCAGGGTGTGTTAAGGCAGCAAGAAGGCTGCATTTTCATTCTGAACTCAAGGTTGTCTTTCAGAACATGGCTTTTTGTTATGTTTTTGACACAGTGTCACCCTGTATAGTCCTAGCTGGATCTGTCTCTGCTTCTCAAGTGCTGGGATTAAAGGTGTTTATCATTACACCCGCCCTGTGTGTGTTGGGGCATGAATATGCCATGGAGTATGGAATTTGGTTATCTTCTTCCACCAAGTGGGTCCCAGGAGTTGAACTCAGATCATCAGACTTGGTGGCAAGTGCATTTACTCACTAAACCATCTCACTGATCTCATTTCTTACCTTCTTTCAGGATTCATTGTGTGTGTGTGTGTGTGTGTGTGTGTGTGTGAGTGAGAGAGAGAGAGAGAGAGAGAGAGAGAGAGAGAGAGAGAGAGAGAGAGAGAGAGAGAGAGAGAGAGCGCGCACTTGAGTGCATGTGCCCACAAAGGCCAGAAGAGAATGTTGGATCCCTTTAATCTGGAGTTACAAGTGGGTATGGGCTGGCCAGTAGGGGTGCAGGGAACTGAACTTGGGTCCTCTGCAAGAGCATTAAGCACTCTTTTATTTATTTGTTTGTTTTGTTTTTGTTTTTTTGGTGTCTTCGGGACAGTGTTTCTCTGTATTGTTTTGGAACCTGTCCTGGAGCTCTCTCTGTAGACCAGGCTGATCTCGAACTCACAGAGATCCACCTGCATCTGCCTCCCGATTGCTGGGGTTAAAGGCATGCTCCACCAACACCCGGCTCAGCACTCTTTTTTTTTTTTTTTTTAAGATATATATATATATATATATATATATATATATATATATATATATATATTGTGTATACAGTCTTCTGCCTGTATGCCAACAGAGGGCACCAGATCTCATTCAAGGTGGTTGTGAGCCACCATGTGGTTGCTGGGAATTGAACTCAGGACCTCTGGAAGAACAGTCAGTGCTCTTAACCGCTGAGCCATCTCTCCAGCCCTCAGCATTCTTTTTTTATTATTATTATTTATCTTTATTTTATGTGCATTGGTGTTTTGCCTTCATGTATGTCTGTGTGAGGATGTCAGGTCATCTGTAACTGGAGTTACTGACAGTTGTAAGCTGCCACGTGGGTACTGGGGATTGAATCCTGGTCCTCTGGAAGAGCAGTCAGTGCTCTTAACCACTGAGCCATCTCTCTAGCCCTCAGTAAGTACTCTTAACTGCTGAGCCATCTCTCCAGCTTCATTTTTTTTTCTTAAAGAGAAACAATATTGCTCTCAGAATCTTCTAAAATAATAGCTGTTATTGAAGTGCTATACCCGAAATTCTAACACTTGAGGAGCATATACCATGAGACCTTTTGAAGATAGACAGATAGATTAGAAAGATAGATAGGATGAATGAATTAATTAATTAATTAATCAGGGATGGCCTGTGGCTGAATGAATGGAGAATACTTGTCTCATGTGCACAAAGCCCAGAGCCAGCCCCCAGCTCCAGGGGAGAGACGCTGCTCTCCTGTTGAGTGTGGAGATTGGTAATGCAAAGGTAGAACCCATGTGCTGGATGGGCCCAGTGTGCAGAACCTCCAGCTACCCTGGAGCTGACTCAGTTCCCAACACCCAGATGGCAGTTCACCAGCATCTGTACCTCCAGTTTACAGCTGGCTTCTGCAGACACTAGGCACTAAGTAGTGCACAGACAAATGCAAGCGAAAACCCCATACACATAAAGTGAATACATCTGAAATTTAAAAAGCTTTTTAAAGAGTACAATCCTGCCATTTAAAAACTCTCCAAATAAAGGACAGCATTCTGCTTCCTACCCCCACTCTCAAGACAGGACCAGCACTCCTCAAGTTGTTAGCCATTTATCTCTTAGACACCCTCTTAGTAGTCTTTAAGAAAGAAAAAAACAGCAAAACCCAATTTGAGCTGAAAATTCTCCAGTTCCAGCCACAGAGTGGATGAGAGTCAGCTTTAGTGTTGTCACACCTGTGTGAATCTAAAGGGCTCTAGCAAAAGAGACAGTCTGCAAAAATGTGGTGCAGCCACCACTGCTCTGCTGGCCCTGCCCTTTCCTGGAGGGAGTTTTCTGCATGGTGCTTCTGTTGAACCTTATATGGGAATGATGTCACGGCCCTTTTGCTACCCTGAAAAAGAGGCATCTGCTTACACACTCTTAGATCCCATTCAAGCGGTCGGAAAAATGTGTGTGTGTAGTGGTATGTGTGTGCGCATGTATGTGTGTGGTGGTATGTTATGTGTGCTTATATGTGTGTGGTGGTGTGTTTGTGTTTGTGTGTATGCATGTGTGCCTATATGTGTTGGTGGTATGTGTGTGGTGTATGTTGTGATATGTGTGGTAGTATATGGGTGGTGTGTGTGTGATGCGTGTGTTTTGTGTGTTTAGTAGTACAAAGCCTTAAGAATAAGAAGATCACAGTGGGGAGACATTAGGTTGGGAAGCAAAGATAAAAGACAAGGACTTCACAGACTCATGGAAGCCAACCAATAATTGATAATACAACAGAGAGCCTCACTGTCCAGAGTGTCCCCAGAATCTCTCAAAGCTCAGGAATGGCCAATGTCCCAAACCTTTGGGAATCAGAATAAAGGTGAGGTCATCCTTAATCACATAGCAAGTTTGAGGACCAGCCTAGAGAATCTTGTCTGGAAAAATTGGAAGGGAATGAAGTGAGGGGCCAAGATCGAGGAAGGCTGAAAGTGGCCATGCAGCCTGATGCCTAGAGCTGTGTCCCCAGCCTGCCAAAGAACTGGAGCCCCAGAACCTCCCAGGTGTAAACAGTCCCCTTGGTTTGGGTGTCTGTGCTTCTGCCCTCTGTGCCAGGGTGCTAACTTAACTCAGGACTGCAGTTATGGCAGAGGACGAGAACACATTTCTCTGGGGAGTCTGATCAGACCAGTGAAAAACCTGAAGATACTGGGGGGGACAACAACTCTGAACAATGTCTTGGCCAGAACAGCCTGCCACATGACTTGGTGTCCACACCCTAACAGCTGCCCAACTTCCCACTCCAATGCTTAGCAACACTACTACCGAAATAGATACAGAAACAAGGGAAGCAGACCAGTGAAGGGAAGACTTGTCACCAGGTGATACCTCACCCTAAACATTTCAGGGCCAGAGAGTAGTGAGTTTCCAGGCTTGAAAAGCCTGCTGAACAGCCACCACAGGGTTGGAAGTAGATTCCCAGCAAGGCACAGCTGTTTGCAATTCCTGAGCAAAGAACAATCTTCTACTTCCAAAAAGAAGTTACTGGCCGCCTACAAAGCCAGGCATCTGAATGGCACCAGCTGCTTGCAGCACCACAGTCTAGAAGACAGCAGACAGCTGTAAATGGGAACTTGCCTACACTGCTCTAGCTCAACCACTGTAAGCAAAGTGAGAGAAACAGAAATTATCAGATACACTAAGTTCAAAAGCATGCACCAGCTCTGTAGCTGTTGTTTTTCTAGACAGATTTTCTCTATGTTGTAGGCCTGGCCGTGCTAGAACTCCCTCTGTAGACCAGGCTAGCCTTGAACTCACAGAGATCTTCCTGCCTTTGCCTCCTGAATGCTGGGATTAAAGGTGTGCGCCACAACCACCCCACCACATCTTTTAAAAAGTTTTTTGTGTGTATTTGAGTGTTTTTACTTGCATGTATGTCTGTGTGCCACATACATACCTGGTGCTCATAGAGGCTACAAGAGGACATGGGATCCATGCATGAGACTGGAGCTACAGACAGTTGTGAGCTGTGGATGCTGGGAACTAAAGTTGAGTCCTTTGCAAGAGCAGCCAGTGCTTTAACCACTGAGCCATCCCTCTGCTCCCCACCCTCCTTAAGGAAGCCATTGGAGAACCTGCTCTATAGTGAGTGAGATGAGGAGACTAGGACTTTCAAAAATGAGGTTAGTTCTACATGCAGGGTGAAGGCCATCCAGTGTTGAAAGATCTGGGGGGGGGGGCACTGTCACAGCAAGAAGGTGCCTACCCTTCTCTGAGAAGCAGTGCAGAGGGAGGGCCCAGTGCTCAATGGGGATCAATTCCACATAAAACCGATATAGGCAGAAGATGAGAACAGCTCCAAAACATAGCATCACCTTCCACACTCCTCAGCTATGACTGACGTTTATGGCGTCTTCTGATTAATACCAACTATTGCCCGAAGTCCAGTTATGGCAAGTAATTGGGAGACGATAGGACAGGAAGAGGCAAGGCATGGAGGCAGTGGAAAGGAAGTGTAGTGGCCTACCTCATCTAGAGTGAATGCATAGAAGAGGTAGCCAGAAACAGGCTAGTGGGATGAGCTCTTTGGCTGTGAACAAGTGCAAATGCCAAGGCAGCTTTTCAGAGGTCAGAAATGCCTGGTAAAATAAGAGGTGTGTGTGTTGGGGGAGGGGGACCATCTGTGCTGGTTAGACTTCATTCTGATTCCCACTGTCTGTAAACTTGAGTGCCAGAAGCCCACATGCAGATGGGAAGGGAGCCAGCCCTACAGCAGTCCCCTCTACTCTTCCTCCTGTGATGACTTCATATTTTAGCTCCAGCACTGAACCACCTGCTCCCACCAAGCTACAAACCCTTCTGAGGAGCTGAAGAAGTCAGAATCCTAGTGCCTGACTGAGCTGTCTTTCTCTTCCCTCCCTAGATTATCCTCTGGACTTGAACCACAGTGAAGTCTTCCCCCCAACCACAACATTTCTTCCTGAAGATTTTACCTACTTTGCCAACAATCCTTGCCCAGAGAGGCTCCCTTCCATGAGTAAGTAAATCTGGCTTGCCCCAGGCTGCTTCAGGGCAGGTGTCTGGAAGGGAGAATGTGACCAGGTGGCCTCCCTGCCTCTTTGGATAGTGAAATGGCTCACCCCACATTTCTTTCCCATTCCACTCTGGCTGGTTGCTAGAGGTTATTTTCTTGTTGTTGGTTCTGTTTGTTTTTTAGATAGGGTCCTGGAATTCCCTTTGTAGACTATGCTGATTTTGAACTCACAGAGATATACCTGCCTCTGCCTCCTGAGTGCTGGGATTAAAGGTGTATGTCACCACGGTCCAGCAGAAATTATTTTCTTAACAAAATGTTGGTTTAAAAAAAATTCAAGCCATGCATAGTGGTTGTTAGTCCCACCAATTGAGGATAAGACCACTACCATAGTTTAAAGCTAAATTTGAAGCAAGCTTTAGTTAAATACTGGCCAGGTGGATGGGCTCTGGCCAGGTCCATATCCAGGTTCCTGGGAAATAGCTTAGAAGCATAGTTTGTAGAGGCCTAAGAAGGAAAACCCATAATTCATTGCCTCTCTCATCAAGTCCAATCACAGGCAAGCGTACATCCTGATGTCCCTTCATCCTGTGAACCTCCCACACATACGTAATCAAGCACATCTGGGTCAAAGGGAGTGAAAACATGTGGCTTGTTATCTCCTGTCAACAACAGCCAACATTTCAGGAACTGTCTGTCCTTGGGCAAGGGGCTTGCAGATCACAGGCATTTTTGTTTCATGGCTCTCTTAGGCATAGTGATTAAAACTTTAAATTTAGCTTTGGCTCTCACAGTGGCCACACCTTTATTCCCAGCACTAGTACTCCTGGTTGTCTGGAACTAGCTATGTAGACCAGGCTATCCTGTAACTCAAAAAGATCCTCCTGCTTCTGCCTCCCTGAGGGCTGGAATCAGGATGCGCTCCACACCTGGCTTCCCAGCACTTATTGACTGTCATGGTTTCAGTTTGGTGCCTCAGCAAAGATGAGTGCTCTTTAGTTTGGGCACCATTAGTCAGAGCTCCTACTCACTGGTGCCTGGGGTGACATAGGCAGCTGGCCTTGCTTCTGAATGAGCTGCCAGACCTAAGTGTGCCACTCTTCTGTCCCTCCTCTGATGAATTCAGCTGCCGCCTCAGGCTTTTTTGAAGGGCAAGCAGTTTATTGAGAAGTGAAATAGGAGCTCCCTGTAGCAGGGAGGGGTCTTGCAAAAGAGCTGCCTCGCCTCAGTTTCAAGGTCTTCCTTTCTCTCTCCGCCTTGGCAGGAGCCAGTCTCTAAGGTGTTATATACATGAGTATTATTATATTAATAATAAAAACTCAGAGTTAACTATCAGGGGGTGAAAACTGAAGATCAGAGAAGCAAATTGGCCAGCCACTGGAGAGTTCTCACCTCTGCCAGTGCTCTGACCAAAGGGGTGATCCTGTCCTCAGACTGCTTCCTCACACTGCCTGCTTCAGACAGCTGCCACAGACTGCCTAGACCGTCATGAGCTCTGGTCTCCTCCTGCCTTATATTCCTCTCTCCACCCAGCATATCCCTTCCTGTGTCTGCCTCCTTAGTGCTAAGATTAAAGGTGTGTCACTCTAAGTGCTGGGATCACCTTTGTGTAAACTGTTTCTCTTTTAGACTGGATCAATTTCATGTAGCCTAAGGTGGCCTTGAATTAACAGAGATCTGTCTGCCTCTGTCTCCCGATTGCTGGGATTAAAGGTGTGTGCTACCACTGCCTGGCTTCTTTGGCTAACTAGTGTGGCTAGCTCTACACTCTGATCTTCAGGCAAGCTTTATTTGTTAGGTCATAAATAAAATGTTGTCACCGTGTTGTCCCTTTGGTACACTTCTTTGTCAGATGGCAGTGGCACACTAAAGGGCAGAGAGATGGACAGCACAGGGCCAGGCTCAGCCTACATAACTCTTGTTTTTCCTTCCTCTCTGTCCAGAGGGCCCGATAGACATAAACATGAGTGAGATCAGAATGGACGATATTCACGAGCTCTTCTCCAGAGACCCAGCTATCAAGCTTGGAGGCCACTGGAAGCCTTCAGACTGTGTGCCTCGATGGAAGGTGGGCTATGAGTCAGACCCCAGGTGTTGGAAACACATCTGGGATTGCTGGGACTCAAGAACTGTGGCATCCGGGAAATTGTGCTCTGCCTTCTCATTTTCGAGAAATGGGTTTCCCTAAGGACTCCCCTGTAGTCATAGAGATTGGCAGCACCCGGTTGGTGTGTGAAGGCTCTGAACCCCTTTGTTCCCAGGCAGGGTTATTTACAGGAGATGGGGTTGGCAGGTCAGCTGACACATGGGCTGTGTCTCTGCTGAACCTATGTTTCCTGTCTGGTCTCCCAAGTTCCTGGAAGATAAGTGGACTGCAGTGCTGCTGTGCAATGGGGCCCTGGGCCCTTGGAGGATGGTTGTATCAGGGCAAGGGGCAGAAGCTTAAGGCCATTCTTCGACCAAGTGTTTAATAAAGGACTTGAGTGCTACTGGCCCTGTGTGCCATGACACAAGCCACTGGATAAACTTAGTGCATGGCGGCAGGCGTCCACAGATGTCCAGTATGGAGCGAACTCTGTGCAGCATTGAGGAAGTTGGCTCATTTTGTGCTTGTGTGCCTCTAGAGAGACCTGGGTATGTATGCCTCCTAAGGCTGTGGTCCAGTTAGTTCCAGGGTGGCATCACTTGCACAGGTCAGCATTAGGATGTCAAGGGACCTCAACATTCCCTAAGGGTTTCTCATCCAGGAGCACCCAACTGTGTAGCAACGCAAAGAACTAACTGGGCAGCTAGGGCCCGCAGCTAACTTGTGGCCCCTGTCCTGTGATCCACTGCAGGTGGCCATCCTCATCCCCTTCCGGAACCGCCATGAGCACCTCCCAGTCCTCCTGCGACACCTGCTCCCCATGCTTCAGCGCCAGCGCCTGCAGTTTGCCTTCTATGTGGTCGAGCAAGTGAGTGCCCCTTAGTTTCCTCCTCTCTCTCCTGAGTCCACATCGGGAAAGCTGCAAGTGACATTGTCTTCAGTGTGAAGAGCCCAGGGTGTCGCACACCTTTAATCCCAGCACGGGAGGGAGGCAGAGACAGGAGGATCTCTGTGAGTTCCAGGCCAGCCTGGTCTACAGAGCAAGTTCCAGGACAGCCTCCAAAACAATACAGAGAAACCCTGTCTCGAAAAACCAAAAAAAAAAAAAAAAGAGTCCCTTTTCTTCTGGGCGTGGTGACACACGCCATTAATCCCAGCACAGGAGGCAGAGGCAGGTGGATCTCTGAGTTGAAGGCCAACCTGGTCTACAGAGTGAATTCCAGGACAGGCAGAGCTGCTACAGAGAAACTCTACCGTGTATTGAAAAACAAAAACAAGTCTCTCTTCCTAGATATGTGTAGGTGTGTGTCAAGCTGACACACATCAAAACCAACCAGCGCCTCCCTTGCACCTGTCCTGGGTGTAGGCTTTGGTACTGGCTGGGTAAGTGAAGGTTAACATGTAGTTCAACTAGGCCATAACCAGTGTGAGCTAGTCTCTCTACCTGGCACAGAATTTATAACCCTCAGACATTAGTCCCTAGAGAAGTCATGGCTGCTGTAGTGGGACCGTCATAGTAAAGAAGCTGAGGTGAGCAGGTGAGCACCTTCTTTCCCCTGACGTGCTTAGAGTGGCACTGTGCTGGTGGCGGTGATGGGCCGTGTGAGAGCGTAGACTTAGACTCGGCAGTGTGCGGCCTTTCCCGTATATCCTGTGGCCGTGGGCCTCGTCTTCACCTGTAACATTTGTCACTGCAGTGCTTTCTGAGGAAACAAGACAGAATCCAGTGGACTCCCTGGGTGACTGTACTGAGCAGTGCTGCAGACTCTGGTGTGCCGCGAAGGCAGTGAGGTCTTTGCTTCAAGATCTTTTGTTCTTTCAGGTTGGCACCCAGCCCTTTAACCGAGCCATGCTTTTCAATGTCGGCTTTCTAGAAGCCATGAAGGACTTGGATTGGGACTGCCTGATCTTTCATGATGTGGATCACATACCTGAGAGCGACCGCAACTACTATGGCTGCGGACAGATGCCCAGGCACTTCGCAACCAAACTGGACAAATATATGTACCTGTGAGTGTCTCTTCTTCCCAGAGGCCAGTGCAGAAAGGAGACACAGCTGGCTGACTGGCTGTGTCCGCTGATGGGTGGCTTGCAGAGTAATAGTACTGTGTATAGGAGGAGTTCAACAGTGAGCAGGCTGGGGCCAAGTGTCACCATTTTGTTCATTGTGGGTTAGTAGTGTGACTGGTGTGTGTGTGTGTGTGTGTGAGAGAGAGAGAGAGAGAGAGAGACAGACAGACAGACAGACAGACAGACAGACAGACAGACACGTTGGATGGTGACAGCCAGTGATGGTGATGGAGTAACTGAACACTGATGATGGCCATGGTTGCACAAGTCACTGAGTACACAGAGTAAATTCTGTGTTCTATCCCTCACTGCACAATAAAGTTGTTGCTAGGAGCCTGGAGTGGTGCTCAGTTCTCTTGCCTGGCTGTGTGAGCCTCTAGGTTTCATCTTTGCAGTGCAGGAAAACAAAGACAAATTCATCAAGAAATTCAACTCTAGATCTAACGTGACTGCTGTCCTTCCTTCAGGCTTCCCTATGCAGAGTTTTTTGGTGGAGTGAGTGGCCTGACTGTAGAACAGTTTCAGAAAATCAACGGCTTTCCTAATGCCTTCTGGGGCTGGGGTGGAGAAGATGACGATCTGTGGAACAGGTATATATCCCCATCCTGCCCCCCCCACCCCCATCACGTCTCAGAGACCATGTGTCACCCAGTATCCTTGCAGCCACATTGGAAAGATCTATGTGCAAGCGAACACTTGAGCACACTGTTGGTGCGAGACTATAGGGTGTTCCCCGGGTGACCCTCCACCACCGCCTTTGCACACTTGTCCCAGTTTTCCCCTTGTGAGCAGCCGCACCGCACAGCAACTCCACCCAACCTTTCCAGCTGCATTCTGGAGCTGCTGCCTTGTTCTTTCATGTGGAGATGGATATTGGGAATCATGAGTATTGGGAGTTTGTTTTTAAAAATTATAGTTATAACATTAAATAACAACAGAAAAACCCTTCTAACCAAACTTAAAAAAAAAAGTTATAATAACGTATGGGGGCTGGAGAGATGACTCAAGCATTAAGCACACCTATTGCTCTTCTAGAGGACCTAAATTTGGTTCCCAGTACACACACTGGGTAACTCCAGAGGATCTCATTCCCTCTGTAGGCACCTGTACTCACCTGCACATACCCACACACAGACATACAAACATACACATATAATTTAAAATGTAGAGATTAATTTGGGGCCAGAGAGATGACTTGCTGGTTTAGAACACTTGGTGCGCTTACTAAGGAGCTGGGCTCAATTCCCAGCACCCACATGGCAGTTCACAACTGTCTATTATAACTCTAATTCCAAGGAATCTGATGCCCTCTTCTGACATACAAGGGTACCAGTCTTGCACAAGGTGTTTATACATACACATAAAGTGTAAAAAAAAGTTTTCAATACTTAAATGTTAGAAAGAAAGAAAATAATAGTTGGGTGTGGTGTTTCCTCAGACCTATGATTCCAGCACTTGGGAGGCTGTGAGGAAGAGGGTTCTTTGAATTCAAAGCCAACCTAGGCTACCTAGTAAGTCTTCCTTCATAGAACAGGGGAAGGAAGAAGTGTGTGCATTGTAAAAGTTGTACGTGAATAAAAATAAACTGCCCCAGTCTTTACACCCCAAAACAACATTGTCACTATTTTAGTTTGTCTTTAAAACATCAGATCTATGTCAGCTTATCAGACCCATAGGTAGCAGCTGCCTTAGGCTCACGTAAGTATCCCTGGGGCCCAGGTGATGCACGTGTTAGAAACCCAGGGTGTCTTGTGTAGGATGCTGTCTGAAATCACACAGCTTCCTGCTGCATGTTTAGCCTTCAGGGTTCCCATGCACACAGGTGGTAACTTAATAGATCGTCTCATTCCCACTGGAACTTAGGAGAAGATCTTAGAAATGAATTTGGTCAGAATGTGATGTGTTTGTTAGGGCTCATGAGTCATATTGTAACAATGCTTCCCATGTTCCATGTGGCTTTCTGGGCACTGTGTGCCCATATCAGTGGAACCTACCCCAAGCTGAGGGGTGGAGTGCCTGGTGAGCTGTTCACAGATATGTCCCTGCTGTCTGTAGCTGCGTGCAGGTGGGGACTTGAGGTGGGTGTTGGGGTCGTCCTCAATAGCTCTCCACTTTGTGTTTTCACACAGGGTCCTTCACTGAAGCTCATCTATTGAGCTAGACTGGCTAGCACTGAACGCCAGGGTCAGCTGTCCATCCCCTTCTCCCTCTGCTCAGTGCTGGGGTAATAGACACACAACACTGCTCAGCTCTTACATGGGTTCTTGTCAATTCAAACTCAAGTCCTCATGGTTGGCACTTTATTAGCTGACCATCTCCCCAGCCCCCAAGCCATCATTTTCAATAGCCACAGACAGAAATGCTAATCTTCTGCTGGTAGGCCTTCTATAGGAGTGTGCCATCCTTTGTTCCCGTGTGTAGGCATCTCTCCAGAAAATTCAATGCCTACTGTGACTAGACAGTCAAGAAACACATTGTGACAGCTGCTGGGTATAGCTCAGGGATGGAGCACTTTCCTAGTGCACACTAGCGCTCTCTCTCTCTCTCTCTCTCTCTCTCTCTCTCTCTCTCTCTCTCTCTCTCTCTCACACACACACACACACACACACACACACACACACTGCTGGGATAATAGTTCAGTTGTTAAAGTGCTGAGTTTGATCTCTGAAACCATGTTTTTTGTTTTGTTTTTTTTAAGCTGGGACTAGTGACTGTATTGGTTATTTTTATGTTGCTGTGATAAAACACCATGATTAAGGCAACTTATAGAAGAAAGAGTGTGTTTGTTTGCCCTTAAGTGTCCATCATGGCAGGGAGGCAGCAGGCACGGTGGCTGGAGCAGGCTGCACAGAGCACACATCTCAACCTCAAGCATGAAGCAGAGAGAGCAGACTGCAAGGGGGCTTAAACTCAAAGCCCACTTCCAGCGACTGACTCCTTCTAGAGAGGCCACACCTTTTAACCCCCCCCCCCACAGCACTACTAACTAGGGACCAAGTGTTCAAATAAATGAAGCCCACAAGATACAAAGCACCGTATTAGCACATGCCTTTAATCCCAGCCCTAGGGAGGTAGAGGCAGGAAGATGTGAGTTCCAGGTCAGAAAGGTCTATATAGGGAGTTTCAGGCTACTCAAAAGTTACACAGTAAGACCTTGTCTCAAAAAAAGTTGTTGGTCTCAGTAGCACACGCCTATAATCCCAGCAATGGGAAAGAGGAGCTCCAAGCCAGTGCCAGTGAGGGACCATGTTTCTAAAGGAAAAGTTTCACAGGGCCTAAGGAATGACATGCAGGGTTTTCACCTGATCTCTCCAAGCACAGGCGTGCACACACATGCACGCACGCACGCACGCACGCACATACAATGTTAGCTGGTTAAAATAAATACCAGGTGGGTTGGATGAGTGAGGAGGTGCTTGGGTGTTGTTGGAGAGGCTGTGGAGTTTACTGGTCTCTGGGTCTCCAGCACCTCACTGCTGTCCTTTTGTTTTTGGACAGGGTACAAAATGCAGGCTATTCCGTGAGTCGGCCGGAAGGAGACACAGGAAAATACAAGTCCATTCCTCACCACCATCGAGGAGAAGTCCAGTTTCTTGGAAGGTTGGTGTCATTTAAGTTGCCACACCACCCTTCTGCCTCTGTGGTGTGGCTAGGCATCACCCATGTCTGTTCAGATTAACCAAGGTAGACATTTTGGGTGACCATTGGTGAGGTTTAGATAGTGAGGCTCCCATGCAGCCTGAGAGTTGGGGTCACATTCTGCTTAACCCCTGCACTGTGAAGCTGTCTCCGAGGGAGTCACAGGGCTATAAGGTTGGCTGCTTTTTGTTCCCTCCTCTGTACTCTCTTTCTGGCTTTGGGCCATTCTCTTGAGCCTGCATTTCCTTTGGCCTGAGAGGCATTAGATGAGATGCTGTAAAACTAGCCTACGCAGCTGCCCTGACTGTGGACCTGGGATGTTGTCTCTGAGTCCCTCTCTGTCCTCGGCTTCCCAGGTACGCTCTTCTGAGGAAGTCAAAGGAGCGACAAGGGCTAGATGGCCTCAACAATCTGAACTACTTTGCAAACATCACATACGACGCCTTGTATAAAAACATAACTGTCAACTTGACACCCGAGCTGGCTCAGGTGACTGAGTACTGAGATGTGGAGAGAAACCCTGTCCGCCTGCCCATCGCCTCCTCAGAAGCGCTGTGATGTGCCATCCTGGGGGTCAACACAGGACGAGGACAGAAAGAGTGGAGTGCAGGACCATAGGGTTCCAGAAAATGTCACAGAGCACACGCACAAAGACCTTCGCCGTAGGCCCACACAGGGACAGGCGACCTGGAGACACCTCTCATCAGCACTGGCTTCATTCTACAAGACAGATGTCTGCCCTGCTGCTCTCTTCCGTCCCCACCCCAGGAGGGCCAGCCTAGGTGCCCCTCAGACAAATGAATGGCCAAGCCCAAGGCTACATGGCCAGCTACCCCTGGCTTGAAGCAGGAGGACTGCACACCGTTTTCTCTGTTCTTTTTGGTTTTCACTTTGTTTAGTTTTGGGGCTTCCTTCCTTCCTTCCTTCCTTCCTTCCTTTGTTCCTTCCTTCCTTCCTTCCTTCCTTCCTTTGTTCCTTCCTTCCTTTCTTCCTTCCTTTTTTTTCTTTCTTTTTTAAGAAAATTACCTGCATTGGGTGGGAACTAAGGGTGGAGGGGAGGGACCTGGGGTGATAGACACATAACAGTCACTTCTTGAAGAAGTGTAATTGTAAATAAGCCATGTAAAATGCCTTTTTAAAATTTAATTTTATAGCTGGCTTCACTTCAAAGTGAGGGCTTCGTATATTAGATCACCTTGGGTGGCAAACATAATTGAGTTACCATGCAGTTGAAGAGCGTCACCTCCCAAATCCCTGTCATTTTGGGAGTGGACATGGGTCAGAGCAAAGAACCTTTCTCACCACAGCCCCTCTCTCCCCTCCCCCTCCAGAGACTTAACAACTAAGCAGGGACGCCCTTAGGGCCACAGTGTTCTTCCCTCTTACAGACCCCTCATGCAGGGTGTGTGTGGGTTGGGAGGCAGGAGCATGGGGCTATCACTCCAATGTGGAAGGCAGTGGCCTGGAGAACAGGACGTTTGAGACCAGTGTGGGTTACATAGCAGTTTCCAGGCCGACCTGTGCTGTGGAGCAGGGTCCCCACATACCCCAACTCTGAACTTTGTTTGTCTCTTCACCATCTCAGAGTGGCTGTTGAGTGACACTCCCTTTTCTTTGGGAACTTGGCCAGTTTCTCAGAGCTGTGCCTGCGTGACAGCGGGCTTCAGTGTTTCTCCGTTTCCCCTTTTGGTTTCTGGGAGGATGCTGTGCTAATAAGCAATTGATTGGGAAGGGCACAGCCAAGGAGCAGGTGCACAGGGGTGCATGTGTCAGCCAGAGTCCAGGTGAGATTTCACCAGAGCTTTGACCGGCAGCCAGCAGAGGCCCCCGCTTCCTGATGGTAGTTCCTAAGCTGCACTCAAAAACATCCCTCCTCCCTGAGCCAAAGCCCTTCTTGTGTCTGCTGTGACCCTATCTCTACAGCGGGCTCTGCGTGTGGTGGGGAGTGCTTCCTTTAGGCCTCCAGCTTCTTTCTGTTCTTTGCCTTTTTGCCTTCAGCGCCCTCGACGCTCATGGTTTACATAGGTGGGTGTGGGGTGTGTAAATATGTGGGGTTGGGGTTTTTGCATTGCACAAGTTGGTTCTGTATGATCCCCACAGACTGTGGGAGTGATTGGCCAGGCCTTGTTTTTTTTTTCTTCTTGTTTTTGTTCTTTTTGTAGAATAGAGTGGTATCTAGGGGACAGATGGCAATGCAGAATGCTTCCCGCTCGTATGAGAGAGCAGGTGTCTGCCCTTGAGAGCGCTGGTGAGCTGCGTCATCTGTTTGCACTGGGCAAGGAGCTGCACGGCTGCGTTGACTTGCCTTTGTCTTACGGTACACACAGCAATAGAGATTGTGTGGGTCCCCATCCCCACCTCTGCCCTTCTCTTGTTGGTTTTACATGCTGGGGATGAAACTCACGGCTTTGGCATGCTAGGCAAGTGCTCTGCCACTGAGCCATGGGCCCAGCCCTTACTCCCCTCACTCTCCTGTCTTTGCACTGAAGGCCGGGAGCTGCTTTCAGTGTGGCAGAGCAATGGTCCTTTGGAGGGGCTCCCAGAGAGGGACAGTGGTGCATGCAGCATGTGTCCCGGGTGGAGCTCTGCGATCTCACACTTGCCACAGGGTACTACTGTTTTGGGCCAAAGGCTGATATTTGATTTAAGAAAGAAAATGCTGATTTGGGGATGAAAAAAGGTCTTTTTGCTGCTCAAAGTAGGGTCGCTTGTATTCTTTTGCAATCATGTCCAAGTTTGTTTTTAGTGTGGACTCTTAGTGGGCACTGTCAATCATTGTCCACCAAGTCACATGCTGAGTGGGAAATGTCACAGTCAAAACCATACTAGCAGGTCACAGGTTAGGCCACGGGATGCTTAAAGAAAATGACAACCAGTGTGACCTTGGTGTAGTTTGGCAGCTGAGATTATTCAATGTTATGTGACCCTTAAACCGACCTTGCCCTTGATTGCCTTATGTGTGGAAGGTTCCCCTACACACGGGGTTTCTTTCGTGGGAGAGGGGTTTTGCAAAACTTTGGTTTTGCTAAAACAGGGACTCTTATCAGCACTTCCCTTCCTCAGAGAACAGTAGCGGAGCAGGCACTGACTGTACCCACACACCACTGATGAGGCATTGAACGCAGCTAGATTTTTCCATCGTTACTTTTGTTTGTTTTGAGCTTGCTCTCTGTTTTAAAAGGTGCCAGGAGTACATTTTTGCACTGAAATCTAAAGATGTTTTAAAAACACTTTTCACAGAAATAGTCCTTTGTCATTACATTATTCACTCATGTGTTTGTACATTTTGTATGTTAATTTATGAATGATTTTTTCAGTAAAAAATACATATTCAAGAACCAAACTTTGGTGGTCGTGTCTGTGTAACTGCCTTTCAGGGAGGTTTCCCCTCCTCTGTATAACACCACACATAGGTGACAATGTGATTCTAGAACATTCTCTATGAGCAGACCTGTACCTGGTTCTACTCACAGATTTTTACGATTTGAGGGTTTACCATTCTGTGCGTGTGTGTGTGTGTGTGTGTGTGTGTGTGTGTGTGTGTGTGTGTGTGTGTGTGTTAGTGTTATGTATATGTACCTTGAAGATGACCTTGAACTTCTGATAGGTGTGCCCCACCAAGTTTGTGGGGGGAGATAGAATTCACACTTAGGGCATGTCTGCATAACTCTGCACCAGTGGAGCCCAGCCCAGTCTTTCTTGCTATTTTGTTTCATGATTGCTGATGTTTGCCTGAATGTCTGTGCCCAGTGCGTGTGGATCAGGGAAGGAGGCTGGGCACACCCTGGGGGAATGGAGTTGGGGTAGGCAGTCAGGGCTGTATGGTGGGATTCTGCAGCAGGGTTAGGGATGTTAGCAGCTGAGAGGCTGAGAGAACTAAGATGTAAGGCTGCTGCAGGTAGGGAAGATGCTGGGGTAGGACCCAGGGCTGGAGGCTGGAGGAGCCCTTGGGAGAGCCCAGCTTCCCTACTTGCATGGCTCCGGTTTCTGTATTGTATTTGTGGAAACCACCATGCAAGAATAGCAAGCGGGCAGCTCTACGCTCTGGTGAGGGCATCAGGGAAGGGGCCACCCAGGCCCAGTGGGTCAGTCCCTCAGATGAGCGAGGGTGCGGGAATAGAGAGTTGGGGCAGGGGAGCTGAAAACCAGATTCATGAGGGGCAGCAGGGGTCACAGTCACAGAGAACAAGAGGTGTAGATCTGGGTGGGGTTTGTGATGTTGTCAACGGGAAGCACGGAGCCGTGTTGCACCCCTAAAAAGCTGTGGCAGGAAGGACACGGGAGAGGGCAAGTCAGGCATTTCAAGAAGCACCGGATTCAGTCCACAAGCTGCAGGGATGAGGGGTAGAAAATGGCGAATTGGTGCTAAGGAAGCCAGGCCCTGTGCTCCAAGGAAGGTGGCAGGAAGACCCAGGGGTGCTGGCCCTGAGGAACTGTCTGCATGCAGCAGGGAAGGTCCCGGTGAGAGGGGAGCCCTGGTAGTGACAAATGTGATGTCATGGGACAGGCTCCATCCAGTGATCAGAACTGAATTTGTCAGAGTGCATTCCCACTTGCAAATGGCCTGCACTTGAATGTCCTGCAATGAAAAAAGTGGCCTGGTGCCCTGTTTGTGCAGAGCATGCTGTGAAGAGGTCTCCATCTCCCTTCCTCTGGAGAAGCAGGTCCCATGTCAATTTCACATCTTACCCTCGCCTGAGTCTCCTGTGGGCCTGGGGGTGGGCAGTGGGCTGTTCCTCAATATAGGGTGTCCAGCAGCCTCTGCCACTAAGTGCCAACCAAAAATGTCACCAGACTTCAGATGACTCAGGCGGCAGTTGCTTTAGGGGAAAGGAAGCCAGGAATGCACGCCTTGAGGTCAGAGAGTGGATTGCAGAGCACTGCCCTAGGAGAAAGTCATTGCCCTGGCAGCCCACAGCTGTCTTTTGTTGTGGGCTCTTAAAAGCTTTTCCAGGCATAGCCTAAAAGTGCTTTATTATAAAAGCAATAAATGAGTTTATGTTTGGGGGTGTCAGGTCCCCGCTTTAATAGTTTACCTACACACTTACGTGTGTGGGGGATAAGTTTATGGTTTGTAAAAGGCCCTGCGATTGGTGTTTCCTTATGACTTCACAAATGCCACCTCCCCTGAGAGCCCTGTGTGAACATCCAGGCTAAGGCATCTCTCCTCTTTGCATTTTGCTTCCCCAGACTTCCAGAACTCCTCCTTCCATCACAGTTAGGTTCCAAACCCCAGACAAACTATTAAGGTGCCTATTAACATAGCAAAGTAGACTCTGGCCACCAGGTTCTCCCAGCATCCCTCAGTCCCTGCCTGATACAGGGTCCTCCATAGGCTGGCATGTCTCGGTCCTACCCTAAGCTTCTCTATCCAGGGACTGGGCTGACTTTCCCTACCCCAGCTTACATATAGGATATGTATTCCTTTTTTTTTTTTTTTTTTTTTTGGTTTCTCTGTGGCTTTGGAGGCTGTCCTGGAACTAGCTCTTGTAGACCAGGCTGGTCTGGAACTCACAGAGATCCGCTTGCCTTTGCCTCCCAAGTGCTGGGATTAAAGGCGTGTGCCACCACCGCCCGGCTGGGATATATATTCCTAAATAACCCAACCATCTTGGTTATGGACCGTTTTTGCCTCTTAGTTTCAGGGTCTTCTGGCTCTCCCCTATCCCTTCTCCTTACATGACCCTGCTCAGGGTCATATTCACTCTGGACTTTTCCAGATGTCTCTGCCTCTGGCTATGCTGGCTCTCATTTCCATAGTAAACCTCCATCATACCTAAGAGTAGTCATGGCCTCCTCGTATTCACACACAAACATTTGTATTTTCCGATGGGTGGGAGCAGTGAACCTGAAGTGTGTCACCAGGAAGGAGGGGCTTTTTCCTTGCTGGACGGCCAGTCAATAACTCCTCCTGGGCATGGTGGTGGCATAGCAGCCAGGCAGAGGCAGGAGGATCTCCGAGATCGCAGCCAGCATGGTCTACATTTTCAGTTCCAGGACAGTTGGGACTACATAGTGAGACCCTGCCTCAAAGAGGGAAAGAAGTCTTCCTGCCAGTGACCCCCAAATGATAGTTGATGTTTTCTTATTTTTCCAGCCTATTGGTGTGCCTTCTCCCATCAGTGGGGAAGGAAGGGTCATTAGTTCTCGCTGCTGTCGAGAGCAGGGTCTGCTGGGAGGTGCTACTGGATGACATGGTAAATGAGTGAATGAAATGTCCCTACTAGTGTAGCTTTCTGTCACTTTATTGCTATGAAGAGACACCATGACCATGACAACTCTTATGAAAGAAAGTGCTCTAATTGCCTCCTTGCTTATGGTTTCAGAGGCCAGTAGTGTTTGGTTGGAGCCTCGGGCTCGTCCCTGCACAGCCTGTGAAGCCCCCCCTCTGTCTCTCTCTGTGTCTTTGTCTCAGTCTCTGACTCTCTCTCCCTCTGCCTGTCTCTGTCTCTCTGTCTCTCCTCTCTCTGTCTCTCCCTCTCTGTCTCTCTTTGTGTCTCTTTGTCTCAGTCTCTGTCTCTCTCTCCCTCTGCCTGTCTCCTCTCTGTATCTCTGTCTCTCTCTGTCTCTCTCTCCCTCTCTCTCTCTCTCTCCAACCCCTGCCTGCTCAGAGTCTCTGAACGAAGGAAAGGCACCAACAGCACATTTCTAAATTCTTGGCAACTACCGCCAGCCACCCCAGTCCCTGTCTGAGTGCTTTTGACCCTACTGGGCACAAACCCAGCTTGTATCAGACACATCATCATCCCTTGTCTGCAATCTATGAAACCCCCCTGCCTTAGCTCAGGTGCCTGGCCTCATTCTCTGAGAACAGTGAACCTGGCCAGGAGTTGCTTTGTTCTCAATAAACCTGCTGCTAAACTCTTTCAGTTTGGCTCATCTCTGTCTGCATTGGTAGAGAAACCTATGGGGGGCAGAAAACCTATGAAGTAGAACATCTCACTCATACTGCAGTGTTGAAGGGCCAGGGTATGGGGGAGCCAACAGTCTGAGGACCTGGCTTACAGCAGTGACATCATGACGGGATGTAGGAAAGGCCTTTGGTCCCCTTGCTTGCTATAACTTCAACAACTCCCCAGCCACCCTGGGTAAACATACAACCTCAGAAAAACAGGGGGTTTTGGGGTGGCCTCTAGACAAACCTATGTTCTCTACCTTTGCGCAATGACCCAAGTCATCGTGCCACCCCCAGAGTCACTAAGCCTGCCTTACAGACAGGAAATGGATTCTGAGAGGCAAAGGAGCAGTGTGGCGTAGCAGCAAATGGGCAACCACAGGTTCACTGACTCCTCCAAGCCAACTGCACTTAGTACGCTCACACAGTTAGGAGAAAGTCTTCAGGGAGCTCCAAATCCCTCAGGGTTAGCCATCAACTTGAAAGGCTCTAGCATCGCCATGGAATCATGTTTGTGAGCAAGCCTCTAGACTGGGTTAGCTGGGGAGGGAAGAGCCACCCTGCGTGTGAGCTGCACTGTCTCGTAAGGTTGGGGTCCTGTACAGAATAAAAAGGAGACAGTGAGCTGAGCACCAGGGTTCATCTCTCTTCCTGACTCCGATCCCCACGTGACCAGCCACCTCAAGCCCCTGCTGCAGCCCTCCACACCTTGACTGCACCCTCAGACTGGGCAAAAACAAATCTTTAAACTGATTGTATTAGGCACTTTGTCCAAGCATTGAGGCAAGTAATGTCTTCTTAAATGCTTGTTTAGACAGGTGGTAACACACACCTTTAATCCCAGAAGCAGAGGCAGAGGCAGTCAGATTTCTGTGAGTTTGAGGTCAGCCTGATCTACAGAGTGAGTTCCAGGACAGCCAGGGCTACACAGAGAAACCCTGTCTTGAAAGCAAAGAACAAACAAAAAATGCTCATTTAAAGCTGAGAATGGTGGCACATGCCTTAATCCCAGCACTTGGGAGGCAGAGGCAGGTGAATCTCCGTGTTCAAGGCCAGCCTGATCTACAGATTAAGTTCCAAGACACCCAGGGTATACATAGAACCAAAATCCAAGCAAAGGAAAGAGAGAGAGAGACAGAGACAGACAGACAGAGAGAGAGAGAGAGAGAGAGAGAGAGAGAGAGAGAGAGAGAGAGAGAGAGAGAGAGAGAAAGTTCAGAGCATCTCAGCTATGTAGCAAATTCAAGATCAGCCTGGGCTTTGGGAGATCTTGTCTCGAAAAAGAAAATGAACAAACCAAAGAAGCATAAAAGGAAAGATGGAGAGGGAGAGAGGGCCTCCTCTATAAAGTGTTCAACATCCTTAGCCATCAGGGAAATGCAAATCAAAACAACTTTGAGATACCATCTTACTCCTGTCAGAATGGCTAAAATAAAAAACACTGAAGA